TTTTACACCTCTTGACCTTTGACCTTTGACCCCCCACCTTCGACATCCCAACTCGTTTTCGGATTACCCCCCAACGACCCGAATATCGTGACCGTACGTCGAGCGGTTAAGATTTGTGCCCAACTGTTGACGGACGGACGGACGGACGACCGGACGGACGGACGGACGGACGGTCATGCGATTCTACAAGCTGCATCTGACTATGTCAGATGAGCTAAAAATGCATATTGTCCACAACAGCCACTGCTGACATTTCCCTTGAGGATTTCTCCCGCTGCTGTTGAAAAGCAGAAAACAACCTCTACAGAACAGCCTCATATCTAATAAGGTCACTGCTGGGATATTTCCCTTGAGTGTCCCTTACATACAGGTGCGAGAGTGACCCTTATATGCAGGTGCCTACCTGCGTCGGCGTCTCCCGAGGAGAGCACGAGGCAGTCGACGAACTTGGAGGTGAACTCGAAGGCGACGTGCTTGTCTCCGCGCATCACCGTCACCGTGTGCCGGTCGCCGTAGCTCGCCCGCGGCATGCCGCCCGCGAAGATCAGGAACGCGTCCCTGCAAATAGACACACACACGCGCGTGAGAGAACGACGGTGGCGTGTGCCGTGAGAGAGTGTGCGTCTCAGCAGCATTGCTATGGTGTCCGGTGTACATGCAACAGTTAACGTTGTTACTACAGTGTACGTGTACACGTGAGAGCGAAAAAGACGACCGTGAGAGAGCATGTTGTGCAAGTACATGTCAGAGCAAACGAGAACGATGTGTACCGTGAGAGAATGCTACACTTCCAATATGCATGTACATGTAAGAGCAAACGAGAGCTAGGACGTACCGTGACAAGGCGCTATACTTACAATATGCATGTACATGTAAGAGCAAACGAGAGCTAGGACGTACCGTGACAAGGCGCTATACTTACAATATGCATGTACATGTAAGAGCAAACGAGAGATAGCACGTACCGTGACAAGGCGCTATACTTACAATATGCATGTACATGTAAGAGCAAACGAGAGATAGCACGTACCGTGACAAGGCGCTATACTTACAATATGCATGTACATGTAAAAGCGAACGAGAGACGGAGTGTATCGTGAGAGAATGCTATTTACAATGTGCATGTACATGTCAGAGCAAACGAAAACGATGTATACCGTGACAGAATGCTATACTTACAATATGCATGTACATGTAAGAGCAAACGAGAGATAGCACGTACCGTGACAGAATGCTACTTACAATATGCATGTACATGTAAGAGCAAACGAGAGACAGCACGTACCGTGACAGAATGCTACTTACAATATGCATGTACATGTAAGAGCGAACGAGAGATAGCACGTACCGTGACAGAATGCTACTTACAATATGCATACACATGTAAAAGCAAACGAGAGATAGCGCACGTACGGTGAGACTGTGTGTTTCAGCATGGTATGGTGTGCTACACTAAACGTAAGAGCTAACGCTACCACGACGTGCACGGACATGTAAGACTTAACGAGAGATGACATGTACCGTGAGAGATTGTGTGTTTCAGCATTGCTACTACAGTGCAGTGTGCGCGCGTACGTGTAAAAGTTAAGGAGAGACGGCGTGTACAGTGAGAGATTGTGTGTTTCAGCAATGCTATTGTATGCTGTACTTCAGGTAAGAGTTAACGAGAGACAATGACGTAAAAGATTGCCTACCGGCAATGCTACGTTGTGCTACAATAAATACATAGTTTATAAATAATATAATTTACAAGCAAACGCCACGCGACATGTGCGGGTGTCACTCCCCCCCCCCCCGGGCGTAGATGGACGGTGTCGTTACGTGGCAGCACTAGTCACTTCATACGCTAAGTCCAAATCTTCCACATAAACATTCCACAGTCATACTTCCGTGCTAGACATGGCCTTATTTCCTTAACCCTAACCCTGACCCTGACCCTAATCCTAACACTAGTGCTGCCACATCACGTGACCGTCCATCTACGCCCGGGGGAAAGCCACTCTCACAATTATCGCATGCAATCTGCGGCATGCTTAGTGAATGAACTAGTGGCGCCATCTAGCTTACCCTGGAGCAGTCTTGTAGTCGACCTTGGTGATCGGTTTGCACGGGAACGGACCTGCAGGGAAAGAAAACAAGAGATGAAAACACAAGATCAGCAGCACATAGAACGAAGCCGCCTTACAATTAACACAATGATGAAGTAAATAAGGAAATGGTTGCAAATAATTGTTCAATAATATTATTACTTAATCAATCATCCTCACAGGGGCAAGCTTTGGCTATAATATGAAAATTGGGGAAATTGGGACTCTGGTGAGTGTTGCTGTGATAAAAACGTGTTTTAATAACTCGAATCGAACAATTTGACGTGAGTTATCATTACCATTCTTGCGATAGGCTTCGATATTCAATATCTAAAACTGATATCGAAACAATTTTTACAGTCTTGAAGAAACACCATCTAATCATTACCAGCGTAGATGTGACAGGACGTGTGTATAAGGGGTCGGGTTTACAACAAAAGCCTTGTATTGTCAAACACTTGCGTGAGCGTGCGCGTGCGCGCGTGTGTGGTATGTGTGTGTGTGTGTGTGTGTGTGTGTGTGTGTGCGTGTGTGCGTGCGTGCGTACGTGCGTGCGTGTGTGAGCGTGCGCGTGCGCGCGTGTGTGGTGTGTGTGTGCGTGCGTGCGTGTGTGTGCGTGTGAGCGTGCGTTTGTGCGTGTGTGCGCGCGCGCGCGCGCGTGTGTGTGTGTGTGCGTGCGTGCGTGTGTGAGCGTGCGCGTGCGCGCGTGTGTGGTGTGTGTGTGCGTGCGTGTGTGCGTGCGTGTGTGCGTGTGAGCGTGCGTGTGTGTGTATGTGTGTGTGTGCGCGCGCGTGTGTGTGCGTGCGTGCGTGCGTGCGTGTGTGCGTGTGAGCGTGCGTGTGTGTGTATGTGTGTGTGTGCGCGCGCGTGTGTGTGCGTGCGTGCGTGCGTGCGTGTGTGCGTGTGAGACGAAAGAGAAAGAGAAAGGGTGAGAAGAAGAGAGAGAGAGAGAGAGAGAGAGAGACGAGAGAGAAGAGAAGAAGAGCAGAGAGAGAGAATATGATAGAGAGAGACGAAAGGAGGAGAGAAGCGAGAGAGAGCGAGAGAGAAAGAGGAGAGAGAGGGAGAGAGAGAGACGGGGGGGGAGAGAACAAGAGAAGAAGAGAGAGTGACAGTGAGAGAGAGGAGAGAGACACAGAGACCAGTCGCGCTCCTCCTTCAACGCTGTAGCCTGCCGCCGCGCTCTCTCCTCTCTCTCTCTCTCTCTCTCTCTCTCTCTCTCTCTCTCTCTCTCTCTCTCTCTCTCTTCTCTCTCCTCTCTGGCATCGTTCGCGACGCCGTCGCAGCAGCAGTTTTTTATTACGTCGCCGTCCCGTGCGCTCGAATGCAATGCGCATACTTAAATGCGCCTATTCCTCTCTGCTGCATGGCTGCTGGCTGCTACTGCTTACTTGCTGTTGCTGCTCTGCGCCGCTCACTCCTCCCTGCTGCTGCTGCTACTGCTGCTACTGCTCTCCTCGCTCCTCCTCCTCGCTCGTCTCCTCCTCCTCCCTCTCCTCCTCTCCTGCTGCTGCTGCCTGCTCGCGCTGCTGCTGCTCGACACTCTAGCCTTGGTCGCGCATAAATACAGGAGCGAGGTCGATGACCTCACGAGTCGGGAGGCTGGCGGCAGCAAGGAGGTGGAGGTCGGTTGGACAACGGAGAGAGAAGAAAGGAGAGCGGAGATGGTTGTTGGTGGTGGTGGGGGTCGTGGCTGCGTGTGCATGTACATGTACGCAGGCAGAGCGTGTATGCACGCACGTGCACGCTCGTACATAAACGCATTCACACACACACACGCACGCACACACACGCACACATACTACACACCACAAGCTGCACAGCCCAACACAACGGCCCACACACCCACACACACACACACACGTAGGCCGCCTACCTACCCTACGCTATCTACGACTCGCGCTCATACGTCTTGAATCTCCGCCCGTTGGCCATACCGTATTATAGCGTTCTGCTGAACTTACTGAGGCAGCCGGCTAAAGGTGCGAATCAGATATGTTACTAGGCAACTCTAATTTTAAATATATTTTAAATTAATTGGGTCAGGCTTAAGGGTTAGGGTACAGGGTATACGGGCACTTTTTAGG